TTATTCAGCTGCAGTGATAGGCATTTTCTGGGTTTCTTCTGCGAGGCGTATTTGGAGTTTCAGCGCGAGAGCGCCCACTGGCCTTTAGATGGAGATTTACTGCTGACCACAGAACCGTGCTTCACTGAAAGATACGCATGACAATCGCAGCTTCTGTCGAATCGCAATCTCGATTCCATTTCGATTTATCGTGCAGCCCTAGCTCGGATGGCGACGCAAACAAACTTGTCCGAGCTGAGAACAGCTTTACTCGGGAGCCAAAGTTGATTTCACGACTCTGTTACTGCACAGATGCAACAGTGTTGCGAGATCCAATGAGAAGCATTTGAATTTGCCGCACAATGATAAGGTTGCTGCGTGAGAATCATTCAAATTCTGCACAGAATTTACTGTTATAAACAGCGCTGACATACGTCAGGAAACCAGAAGCGGTAACGCTAACGGTTACCATGGTGTTGTGGTAGAAATAGTCGAATATATTACATCATTCATTTCAGGGTTTGTACAACCTTTTGAGATAGAAATTCAAGCACTTTTCAATGACTTTCAAACATTTTACACCACTATTTCCAGCACTTTAAAGCTCTAAAATGATCCGGTTTTAATGTTATTTTTTAATGGGATGACCAAAATATACTTTGTGGTAAACGGACATGTAATATTATTCGTAACTGCTATTAGTTAATGCAAAACAATAGTAATTTTATGATTAAATGATCTATATTTTAATACTCCAGCACAACACCCCCAGCGCTACCAAATCTGCTCCTGGCGCCACCATCTGTAGAACTTAGTGACACTGGTGCCACTGCTCTCAAATGTTAGTCTGGAGCCCTGATATTGTTGCTCTTTTGTTAGTTTTCATTGCTTCTATTGGTCTAACGAAATCCAATTTTAAACATCTTTTACTGTACCCATTTTATGGCCCTTATATTACCTATTTGAGCCAATGCAGATGAATGAAGTTATCTCAGGACGAGACCGCCCTGACTGTAAAGCAAAACGTGATTGGCTATAGCGAGATTGTGCTACGATTGGTCAGCACGATGTGGCTGTTATCTGATTGGCTTGAGTAGACGGTGGGTGGAGTCCACGTATTTGTGGATTGTCAGCACGTCTTTATGCAAGAAATGTTTCACAATTCGCAAATGCACAGGACGCGATTCACAAATGCGTGCAGCAGTGTTAATTTCGTTGACGAATAAATTGTGTCATAATTTTCATCAACAACATTTTTTTCACCGACAACAATGAGACGATAACGAACTAAAACTCTTTTTGAATGACAAAAACTATGACGTAAATCTATTGACATTTTCGTCAACGAATAAAAACGAGACGAAAATGTTAGGGAGGTTACATTTTTTTGTGTATGAAGTAAGAAAAAGTCACAAAGTGCCTTGAAAAACAAACTTTTCTTCAATTTGCTACTAAATCACATATAATCACTGAAGTTGGTCAGTTCCATATACTAGAAGAATAATGGTACATTTAATAAGAGTGGAATATATAATTATTCTATATAAAAATTAGATTTTGCACCTATTACTGTTGTTAATAAAAGTAAATTTTGTATGCATCTTAACTCAAGCTTAGTGCTTTACTGTCAAATCTGTATAAACAATAAACAAAAGAAAAATAAACAGGAAATGGACATGTAATATTATTAGTAACTGCTATTAGTTAATGCAAAACAATAGTAATTTTATGATTAAATGATCTATATTTTAATACTCCAGCACAACACCCCCAGCGCTACCAAATCTGCTCCTGGCGCCACCATCTGTAGAACTTAGTGACACTGGTGCCACTGCTCTCAAATGTTAGTCTGGAGCCCTGATGGGGGGTATTAAAAACAATTAAAAAACGATAATTAAATCATAAAATTATTATGACGATTTGGGAAGAGATTCATTCAGAACGAATCTGCTGCGTGGTTCGGAGGTTAGAGGCGTACATATGATCCGGCGGGACATAAGCTAACATACACTTGCTGCACGTTGCATAAAACGTTCAAAATGTCAATATGTGGGAGTAAGAGAAGCGCAGACATATGGATAAATCTGACGACGCAAGAGAGAACTCAATTCGGTCCAGTTTTCTGAGCACAGACACTGAAGCATACACACACGGAAAGCACGTCTCAGCGCGCGAGTACTCTTTTGCGTCGCATGAACGGAGAATTACACACAAAATTATGTTGAATTGTCCGTTTTGACGAGTATTCACGTAAACACAGTTGATTATGTCTTAAGTGGACATAAACAGTAGGAAGAGCGTGTATCAGTGCATTGCATCCAACAAAGTAAAAACATAATAATAATGTATTGTTGTATAAATTGCCTAATATATGGTTTATGTCTAATGTCTACTGTCTGTCAGAGCAGTTCCAACACTGATTGTTATTCCTGTAATGGACAAACCTGCTCAACCTGATTATGAAATCCAAGGTAATGTTGCTATGCATCCTTTGCCACAAGGGAAAAACCTCTAGGGATGCTATAACGCAGGATAATACCCCTGAGAAAGTTAAATATTGTAGCTTATTTTGCAAGAATATCAGGCAAAACCTGCTTTTATCAGGCGTTCTGCACTCAGAGTTAATCAATGGGCCCAAACAGGCTTGACAGCATTTACTAATTACTGCATTTTTACCTGCACTGCAATTTCTGAAATGAAATGATCCCAAAATTCACGAATATATATAATCCATCAAACAAGGCTATCAGTAGATTTCAGAATGACAAACAGGAGGAATTTTATGTTAATAATCTCAAAATGGATACATATTCTGGCCAGCGTATCAGTCTTTCATGACTAATCAGCTTCATTGATGATGAAAATGGATACATGCATTCACAAGATATCCAGAGATGAACATCCGTATCCATGGGAAATGAAAACTAAATTTCAGCCAATTACAATGATTCATTTTTCTTCCTCTGCTAAACATCAAGCCAAAATTAATTCAAACTGGACCGGAGACAGAGCAGTCGCATCAAGAAGACTGGGGTGAGGAAATGAATGCAGGAAGGTGCAGGTCACAAACTAATTTGATGCCAAAGGAAAATTGACAGTAACAAACATTTTCTCTCCCAGATGAGACTGAACAGGACAGATTCAGTAGGGTTTCATGAGAATCCTATCAGTGCTGGAGTCTGCTGTCTGACACAGGTGTGGCACTGACCTATGAATACTGCACAACAAACTCAAGGTCAAGTGGAATGGGGCGGGGGAATTCACTCTCACCTGTATACATAATACTTCATTCAACTTATTTTTCAGAAGACAAGTGCCTTTACACACGCAGAACTGATGAGTGATCTGAAATGTGCAGATACTACTAAAGGATATTTCATATACTTTAAGAATTATAGTCTGTATTCCTTTTATAAATCTAGTGTCATAGTATGTAGGTGGAAAATTTATGAGCGAACTGTCTGTATATAGGACTTTTTAAATATATTTTTTATTATAGTACAATTTTTGTACAGTATTCTTATTACTGTAATGTGGAAATAATATTGATATTTTATTTAAATTGCAAAAAGTATTTATATGTGATTGTACTACCTCCAAATTATTCTGATTATATATATATATATATATGTGTGTGTGTGTGTGTAGAGAGAGACAGAGTGTAATGCATTATTGTAATGTTTACTTTTGAAGGATTTTTTAAAATTATATTTTCATTAACGTAATACACTATTTTTTTTTTTATGTGGCAATAATATTGATATCTTATTTAAAGTCGGCATGAAATGGAAGTTAAGATTGTCCTTTTTTTCCCTATTGTGACGTATATCCGAGTGAAACGGCTACTGAAATTAGAAAAAAAGGCAGGGCGGGGCTTGATTTCGTCCTTCCGGAATTGATTTCACTATGTCGAGAAATTGGACTGATTGATTGAGTTTTAATAATAATAACAATTCCCATTACTGCAAATTTGAAATTAATGTTTATATTTTATTTAAATGGAAAAATATGTGATTGCATTGCCTCAAAATTATTTTGAAATGAATTGACAAATAATAATAATAATAAAAATAATCAAGAATCTAATTTAAATATTTTCAAATGTGAACATTCTGATGTTTTAGTAATAATAACTTGGGAGTAAATGTGCTTAATTCTCACGAAAGTAATCATCAATAAAAAATAACAAACAAATACCGTGAAACTACTTTTTTTAGACATTTACCATGGCACAGTGTTCCATGAGGCCCGTTGGAGTATCATGCAAATATCACCATACACGAATTTAGTAATCATTTAGTACCACATTATATATTCAGCTAAAATGCTATTACCACACGAAACAATTACACAACCATGGCAGAGTTTTTATAAGGACATGTAACACAAAAAGCATGACGTCAACGTCCAGAGAAGTGTCAGTGAAGTAGGATACGTAAATTGGCTATTTGAACGAGGAAATGACTTAAACGGCTTAAGCAAAGCAAATGAATATCTTAGAGGTTTTGATTCCCCTATATGGCATAATACAACTCCCAAGGACACTAGGACTATAACTTCATCTGTCTGTCTGTGCAGTGCACTGTGCCGCCAACTTCCCCATTTTGCGCTCCGCTCTCACTTACGCCCATTTCATTTCAATGAATGACGGCGAGCGGCCGCTTACGTTAACTGCGTAACTCCCGTTAGTGAATGACAACCTAAGCGAGTCAATCGATCGAGCAGCGAGTACAAAAACGCAGCTGGGAAGTAACAAATGAGACGTTTGTCTTCTTATTGAGTTAGATAAGCATAAATATAGCGAGCTGGGCTTTTTGCAGGGGATCGAAGAGAAATTAGTAACATAGTAACCAACCTGCCGACAAAATTTTCCAGCACGGAGCTTTTTCCGGCGCTCTGTCCTCCAACCACGGCTATCTGCGGCAGATCCAAGTTACAACTTTGGCCAATGGTACTGAAAGCATCTTGGAGTTTATTGATCAGGGGGATCAAATCCTCCATCCCCCGGTTGCCCATGGTTTCTGACCGTCTCTCAGCGCGCAGGAACGGGCTCGCGGCAGCAAGGCGCTCGGGCTACTTTCAAGTGTTCGATTTCCACCCTTCAAACACTTCCAGATCAGTCTGTCAAAGGCAAATAACTCACAAAACACTCGCTGACAGGGAGAGGACGCGTAATACGGCGCATTCATTAAGATCCGTGTGCTGATCTGAGGATCAATCATTCGTAAACTCACAAAACAAAACTTCTCGTTATCATCCGGTCAGGCGACATCCGACCTCCACCGGTGACGCGAGCCCCGCCTCCTGTCAACCGATGTCGTGAAATCCGATTGGTCCGACAGAACGCTTCCTGGTGTGTTCTGTCTTTCGATTGGTTCGATCTTCGTTTCTGCATCTAGCGACCGAGGAGTGCTATTGGACGGCTCACGTGTCAATTTAGTTTCAATAAAAATACTTGGGAAGTAGAGACAACGTAGAATATATTACAATAAAAACAATAATTCTAATTTTAATAAAGTGTGCATATTTAATTACTGCATCACCCTGAATAAATTAAACCTATTTCCATTAAAAAAAATTGAATCATATTCTCTACGTATTAGAACATAGACATTGTTTGGGTTCTCCAGTTTGTTATACTGTATATAAACTAGAAGAAGAAAGTGAATTTCTTTTCACTTTCCACAAAAGAAAGCAGAATTCACGCTATCATGCAGCATTACACCTATTTAAAATGCTGAACTGGTTTCAGACATACGGAGAGACTTTTGAGTATTGCTTGTGTGACGGGAAGTCCGACTCATTTCCGCGAATCGGTTCTTTTAAACACGTCAAATGGTTCAAACAACCATTCAGTGATTCTTTTCAGAATCAGAATCAGAATCAGGATCAGAATTAGCTTTATTGCCAGGTATGTTTACACATACGAGGAATTTGTTTTCGTGACAGAAGCTTCCACAGTGTAACAGAATGACAGTGACAGAACAAAAAAACACAGATAATAAAAAAATTAAAAAAAATAGAACAAGTAAATAAGGAATAAAAATATATAAATTGACAGTTGTATGTGCAGGTATATTACAATAGACAGTTTTTGTATGTACAGATACTGTATATTATGTGCAAATTTGAGGTGTAGACTGAGTATGTGTGTTAGATAAATAAGTGTATGAGTGAATAAATAGTGTGTGTTCCACAGTTATTGTTAAGTGTTCATGAGATGGATGGCCTGAGGGAAGAAACAGTTCCTATGTCTGGTCGTTCTGGTGCTCAGTCCT